ATCGTGGCCGCCAGAGGCAACGAGGAGGACAACACCGTGGAGCTGCGCCGCATGTCCGTCGACTCCAACTACCGCGGCAAAGGGATCGCCAAGGCCCTGGGCCGCAAAGTGCTGGAGTTTGCCGTGCTCAACAACTACTCCTCCGTCGTGCTGGGAACCACGGCCGTGAAGATGGCAGCCCACAAGCTGTACGAGTCCTTGGGCTTCAAACACGTGGGCGTCGTTGAACATTACGCCCTCCCGGGGATGACGCATTCCTTACTAGAGAGAATGTTTTTCCAGCTTCGCTACCACCGCTACCGCCTGCAGCTGCGCGAAGAATAAAACCCAACCAAACACACACACACACACACACACACACAAAAAAACAAATTATTTGTTTAATTTGCTCCCCCCTAAAATAATAAATCGCCCTTCTATTTCTCGTCACTGTTTATTTGCCAAGCTCGTTCATTTTTTTTTTTTGTTCCCTCATTTCATGTTTAATTTGCTCCGTGCAGCTTGATTGTACAGGCGAGCGCTCCCTCCTCGCATGCTGCAGGTGGCGGTGCTGGGAGCCCGCTGTCGGAGCGCCTACGGTGCCGCCGAGCCCTCCTCCCCGTCCCCCGGCTACCTGCCCCGGGCGCAGCAACGCCCCTGCAGCATCGTCCCACCGCTCCCCTGTACATAGTATTTTTTTTCCCTCCCTTTTCCAGATGTAAGATAACATAGCGATGCATTCATAATAGTGCAGAAATATTACTTGAATGCAGTTTTCAGTATTTCATGCACCAGTAAGTAGAATATGCATTCGTCTTACCGTTATTTACTGGTTAATAGTTTTCAAAGAAAAATGTGGAGAGAAAAAACCAAGCACCCAACCCGCTTGCTACAATGCATGAAGAGGAAGCGCGTGCACGCACTCAAACCCAGCACTGCCGCCCTGGCACTGGTGTTGCACTTTTTTGGATGTGCCTCATTCTGCCAAATGTCTGAGGGAACCTCGGTGCATCCAACAACCGTGACTTTGCTCCATCCTCATCCTCCTTCCTAAGCCAGCAAACAGACTTGAACCGTTTGAACTCTGAGCCCCGTTGTAACATAGTGTGAAGCGAGATCAAACCTACATCTCTCCTGCGCTGTTCTGTAGCCACGCGCAACCTGCAGTCCTGGGCCAGACTCCGCATGTGCGTTGGACTTTCTCTTTGCTGCCTTTTTGGGGTGTGGGTTTTTTTTTTTCCCAGTTTGTTTTGATTTGTTTTCGTTTTTTATTATTATTATTTTTAGTTTTGGCTTTTGCTGAATGGTGTCATTGAGGCATAATGGAGGCTGCAGTTCCTATGGCAACACATTTGCACATGGATGTGCACGCCGATTCGCAACCCTTCGGAGGAGCAACGTGGGATGGAGAATAGCATTTTGGGGAGTGCTGGGGCGGGGGGAGCATACTCATTATCTTAACCAGCTGCTTGTTTGATAAATGTAGATGGCCTCACTGCAGCCTTCCATAAAAGGTAATTAACTGCTTTAATGATGTCAGATTTGTGAATTGTACAATGCAAAAAGCAATGCAAAGCAGATTTGGCATGCGTCTGTACCCGGTATGTATGTACAGTGCCTGCCAACTAAAGACTAACCGAGACTACAGCTTCTTCTAGCCTGAAATATCAACTTTTATAACTTATTTAAACAGATAGCAACTTTGCATGAGTTACGTCTTGGGGAAAAAAAATCGCTAGGTTTTAATTTAAAAAATGTGGTATCAGAAGTTAAAAAAAAACAATTTCTGGCTGCACTTGATCTGGGGTGGGTGGAGGGATTCCACTATGTTAATACATTTAAAGGGAGAACTCCTTTAATTTAGTTTGGGGAGGGAGGGAAGTGACTAGTCTGTGAAGTATTATGCGTGCGGGGGAAAAAAAAATTATCACGATGAAACTGATAGCAAGGATAGAGCGTATGTTACTCACGCTTGTACTTACAAACACCATAAAAGCATCAGTGTACCTAGGAGAGCTCCGGAAAGGAGGCCAAGGTCGGCGCAGGGGTCGAAGGGGCCAGTCAAATGGGTGAGAAACGGGAGGGAGGAGCAGGCCGGGCTGAGCTGGAGCGCGAGCTGGGAGTCGAGTGTTCGAAGCACGAAGCTCCCCGGCTCCGGGGCTGGCGGCCGGTCCAGCGCCGCGACGGGGGCGCGGGAGCAGGCGGCTCGTGAAGGCGCTG